ATTTTTTTCTTCGGCCTTTTTTTTTAAAGCTAAAATTACTGCATTAATTAAAGGTGCGAATCTTTTCTTGATGGACGTTTGGTAGCTGAGAAAATGTCGGAAAGAAAATATAGAATTTTTTTTGGGCTTTAGACCTGTCACCATTCCGGAGACTTCCATATTCATGGCCTTTTTGGTTCTAATTTTTGATTTGTGAATCTGAAGATTTTTTTTAGGTAGGCGAATGTTGTATTTTTGGCGTGCCTTCGCACGCGGAGGAACCATTCTTCCGCACGCAGAGTCTGTTGCCTTCGTGAATAGTTTATAATGTGGGATTTATTTCACGGGTGGGGGCCGATCTGAGAATTGTAAGGCAATTGATGGAACCGAGGTGGTTAACATCAAACGCCAGCGTTTCATGGAGTTGAGGATTCGGTGTAACCGATGTGTTGAAGTTTATTTACACTGAAAATTTGAGCTTAATTTTGCTGTGATATTTATCAAAGTAAGATTCAATTTCTTTCTTCGGCCATCTTTTTTAAAACTAAAATTATTGCATTAATTAAAGGTACAAATCTTTTCTCAATGGCCCTCTAGTAAAACACATGAATGCCACCCGTGGTAATCTACTAACTAGGAACTCCTTCTTTTGAGGCACCAATGAAGCCCTCCAAAACAACTCATCTACTATACCAACCTTCGCGTGTGGAGGTTCCAACCTCCGCACGCGAAGGCTAGGGTGGGTCCGTATGCCTCCACCAGCCTCCGAGTGAGGAGGTTGGAACCTCCGCACGCGGAGGCTGGATGCGGAGGCTTTCAGCAGCCTCCTGTGCGGAGGCTGGTGCGGATAAAATCAATTTTTTTTAAAACTTCACTCTTCAAGAATCTAGATTCTGATTTTGTTGTTGCATGACTTTTGATCAATACTGATATCAGACACTTGAATCGAGTTTGGCCATGTAAGAGAAGATGAAGGCTTAGAGATGAGGGTCTGTGGTTGATGTGGCGAGGTGGTTGGCTGGATAGTTTAGGTGATAAATGTACGGCAGCGAGAGGTATTGATTGGAGGATCGAGTATTGATGGGCGTGATTGTTGAAGTGAAGGGAAACGAAATGGGTGATAGGCAGCGGGTTGTTGTTGGGCGACGAAGATAGTTGAATGTCTAGCAGGCAGCGGTGGTGATATGGTTGTAGAAGGCAGATGCCGGAGAGGGGTGAACGGAGAAGAGACTGTGGCCTGTGGAAGTTGTAGGTAGTATGGGCAGTCGCTTGTGGAAATTGTGGGATGGGTTATTGGCTTATTGGGCTTATTGAGTGTGTGTCTATATCGGTGTATGTGGCTGGGTTAATTTGTCATCCTCCGCACGCGGAGGCTGGCGTGGGTCTGTGTGCCTCCGCCAGCCTCCGAGTGCGGAGGTTGAAACCTCCGCACGCAGAGGCTAGATGCGGAGGCTTTCACCAGCCTCCTGTGCTGAGGTTGGTGCGGATAAAATCAATTTTTTTTTAAAACTTCACTCTTCAAGAATCCAGATTCTGATTTTGTTGCTGCATGATAAATGCCTTATTTTGACCTTTTTTTTTTCGAATTTGATTTTGTGTATTGGGTTTCTAGAATCTTTGATTTTTGAAGTGGATTTTATGACTTTGGATCAATACTGATATCAGACACTTGAATCAAGTTTGGCTATGTAGGAGAAGATGAAGGCTTAGAGATGAGGGTCTGTGATTGATGTGGCGAGGTGGTTGGCTGGATATTTTAGGTGATAAATGTACAGGGACGAGCGGTTTTGATTGGAGGATCGGGTATTGATGGGCTTGATTGTTGAAGGTCTAGCAGGCAGCGGTGGTGATATGGTTGTAGAAGGCAGATGCCAGAGAGGGGTGAACGGAGAAGAGACTGTGGCTTGTGGTAGTTGTAGGCAGTATGGGCAGTGGCCTGTGGAAATTGTGGGCTGGGTTATTGGCTTATTGGGCTTATTAAGTGTGTGTGTGTGTGTGTGTGTGTGTATCAGTGTATGTGGCTGGGTTAATTTGGTAGGAATTAGGATTTTAATTTGTGAAGTTTTGTTGAAGGAACTCAATTCTGGAATCAGTTTTAGTTTCCAAAGACGTGAAATCGTTGGTGGATCTGAGATCAGCGTTGACAGAGTTCATAAGAGATGAATCGCTCCAAATCTTTCAAGAAATTTCAGGAAAATCTGTTGACTATAAGCTTCTATGTATTGATTTTCGGATTCGTGTTTTCGCGCTTATTGGTGATGTTCAGGTATTATTCTGTTCCATTTTCTAGAATTAATCTAATGTAGAGACATAGATGGTGACAACTGCACTTTGAATTGAATAAGAAAATTAATCACACCAAATGTAATTGTTCATTGTAATGCAATGAGAGACGAACATTCAATGTGGCTTGATTTTGTCTTAACCTAACGTTACTTGATATTTTTTCATTTATGTAATTTAGCAGTAATTTCATCAGAATTTTTAGAATATATTTGAAAACTTATAGAGTCTTGATCATCACAATATTATTGTCATTGTCACTTGATGCCAAATGCTTTACTAATAGTTTAAGCCATGTTTTGTTATTGTCTTCAATTTTTTTGATCATATATAAAGGAAAGAAATACACTTTAAACAAATACTAGAATTAGTGGCTACCAATTTCCTTAGATCAGTTGGACTCAATAAAGAAAGAATAATTCAAGAGAAGATTAAAAAAAAAAAAATTCTAATCATGAAATACAAGAATTTAATGTGGTTCGGCAATATTGCCTACTTCCACTGCCCCCCATGCCAATTCTTCACTATATCAATTAAAGAAAAAATGAATACAAAAATACACTCTTATATTTATCTGCCTATGCAAAGGCTTTGTTCTCATTTTAGTCATTCATACTGAAGCTTTGTATAGCTTCCGACGAGCATGATTTCTAAATTTTTTCCTTTGCTTGATTGACGAGATCTCTTTTCGACGGGAGAGTCTATATGTCAACAAGCTCAATACTTCATTTTTCCAGGTAACGTAGTTCCGTTTCCCAAAATATGATCACTAATGGGGCTTTCAGTTGCATTTGCACTCACTTATTTATGCATCAAAATGACCCTGCTTGATTTTGGCTATTTGTGTTATCTATTATGCTATTTGTCTACATGTACAGTTCCGAAGCACGAGTGGCTAGCCAGGTGGCAAAGTTTTGTTCCAGTTGCAGCTGNTATTTATGCATCAAAATGACCCTGCTTGGTTTTGGCTATTTGTGTTATCTATTATGCTATTTGTCTACATGTACTGATTCTGAAGCACGAGTGGCCAGCCAGGTGGCAAAGTCTTGTTCCAGTTGCAGCTGCAAAAACAAGTGAAATTATTTGTGAGAAATTGATTATTCTGCAATTTTGATATTTTGTGAATGGTGGATTGTGTTCAATTTTCTATAGTAATCTCTCGGGTTTGAATCTTGATGGTGAAATTTCACCTGCAATTGGATAGCTCAAGGGCCTTCTCTCTGTAAATTTACCATCTATGAATCTTTCTGTTTGTGTT